TAGAAGAAGCTCCATCGATATCTTTATTCCTATATTTTTATTCCTCTTCTGTCACCTCCGGTTAGACCTGGTAAAATTGAATCCAATTTGAAAATTTGATTCAACTCATCTATTATGGGTAGGGTTATGGATTCTATGTGTTAATCCAAAATTTGAAATAATTTGATCTGAAATTATTGGAACCCAAATAAGTTAGGTCACAGGTGGATCGGGTCACCTGAAATGACCCAAACTTTTTTTTACTCATTTTTATTAAATTATTTAAAAATTAATGTTAAATTTCTAATTTCATAATCTTAAAAATAGAAATAAATAAAATACTCAACCCTAACCTCTCATCAATTTCACTTTCTCTCAAACTTTTCTCTTTTCCACTCTTGCTCTCCCCTTTTTCATCTCAAGCTCTCTAATCCTTCACTTTGATGGCACTTGCGTAAAAAAATTAGATTATGTGGCACATAGTGAGTTATATCATATGATATCATAAAAATTATCATTTTTTTAAATAAAAGACAAGAATGCCTACTAAAAATCAAAACTCAGTGGTTGAGATACCCTCATAACCATTAAAAGCACAAAGACAAAAATATCAAGAGTATCAAGGTCTGTTCTTAGTTGTTAATTTATTCTTAATCAATAATTTATTCCTAATTAATAAAAATCAATTCCGATCCAATTTCTTCTTATATTTGGTTAGACATATTTTGGATTTGTCTTTTAAACTTTAATATTGACTATGGCTATATTTTCTATATAATGCCATCCTAAATATTGAATAGAATTGTATTTTTTGTATAATACTCTTATAAATATTGAATAAGCACTAAATATTAATATATATATATATATATATTGGATTTGTTTTTTGAATTCTAATCTTCATGTCTTTTCTTTTAATAAAGGTTAATACCTTTATGAAATTATGAATTCTAAATATTTTATAGGTATTATATATTTGACATATATTTTAGTTCAAACTATATAATCACTAATCTTTTCCTTTTCTTTTCTTGAGATTGGAAAAAAATTGAATTATGAAATGGAAATTAACATTTAATAAAGTTTTCTAACTAAATAGCTAATTAGTAATAAAGTTTTTTAACTAAATAATTAATTAGTATTAGATTTTGTTAAAGAAATAGAGAAAAATATTAAACATTAGATTTTGTTAAAGAAAAATATTAAAAAATATTAAAAAATTTTAATTTTAATTTTAATTTTTTTAAAATTAGATTTACTCGACTCAATCTGAAACTCATGTGGATGTGTCACGAGTTAACTTCCTTAACCTAACACTTGAAATGACTCAATTCAATCAATCGAAGATCGAAATGACCTAATTCAAACCCACCAAATCCAGCATGTTTGCCAGGTTTACCTCCAATTTGTTTTCTCTCTCTGACTTCATTTTCGTTTATTTATTTATTTATTTATTTTTGAGACTGTCATCTTCTCTTTAATTTAAACTATTATAAATACTTAGCACCAACCCCGATCACAAACACATCAACCCAATTAGTATTTGAATTTAAGTCATTTGAGTTTTCTGCGATTTTCTCAGAGAAGCTATGCATCGTTCCCAGTCTCTTACGAAGAACTTCTGCAATAA